CGGGCCACGATTATCGCGGGGAGAAGTGCGGCGCGCGTTCAAGAAGGTTGTGACGCATCCAAGGACTAGGTATTGAACGCGTCGAAAGGTGCGCTCTCCGAGAAGCTGTATGAGCGAGCAGCGGCCGGTGCGTTTGTCGAACGATGGAGTGAAGCTGCAACGGGACAGCCGATGGCGTAAGGGTTACGCGCGACAAGTCAGAACCGCGAGCATCGGAAGAGCCCGGTTCGCACGCAACTCGAGCGGCGGTGGCCGACCAAGGCATATGTGGCGAGCTCGAGCATGACCTTTCGCGTGCGAGCAATTTGACAGCGATCGTCATGAACAGAGGTGTGGTGCGCGGTCAGGAGTACACTGTGGACAAACGCGACGTGTCAAGTGATGAGCATTCAGTGGTGGAAGGAGAGATCCTCGATGAACCGTACGAGCAAGCAACGGCCAGGTCGTCACTAGAGAACCCAACCGGCAGGGTGGAATCGCAAGAGTCGCGCAGGGCCTGCCTACGAGCCAGTCGAGCAACGGTCAAAGATTGGGGATGCGGGAAGCTCGATCACCGACACGCGCACGCGAGTCAACCGGCGGCGACTATTGCGGAAGCAAGGGAGGCGTGTGGTCAGGAGCTCACCGTGGGCCATTGGGACGCATCCAAGAACAGCGAGCCGACCGTGGAAGGAGTAAACGCCGAGAAGATGGGCAAGCAGGGCCGGCGCGAGCTAGCTGAGAGGCAGTCAAGTGAGGGTGAGGGAGCGGAGCGTGGTCAAGACTACAGGCACGCGCCGACGGACGAGCACCTCAAGAACGAGGCCGCAGTTCGTCGGCGACCCGGGAGTAAAGAGCATGCAAGTAACCCAAGCGACGCGCCTTAATGATAGCTTGCCGATGTCAGAACCCCAAGAAGGTCACACAGAATGAGACTGCCTTACCTGCCAACCCGTAACAATCGCGAAATCCATGGGAGCCTGGATGCGCTCGGTCTCGACAGTCTTGAAGGTTTCACCCTCGTTGCCGACAGCCGCGCAGAACGTCTCAATCGTCACCTCGGGGCCAGCGAAAGTCTTGCGGATGTTGATCTCCAGCAGCACCTCGCTGTCGCCAAACCAGAGGCGCCAGTAGAAGTCCTTGATACACTTGTTACGACCCTCAGCGACCTCGTGGATCGGGGCATAGCCCATATTCCGAGGCTTGTAGGGGAACTTGAAGTACAGAGGAACGAGGTGCCGCGGCGGTCCTCGAAGAGCATGACATCGATGACCTGCGATGCCTGATCGAACTTGATCTCGACGGCCTTGAAGTCAGGTTCGTGCTGGCCGTACGAGCGAGCTCCGCCGTAGAGAGCGACGAGCGTTGGCGCGTCACCTTGCTGGCCCCGACGAGGAGCGAAGAGACGGCGCATGGGGTTGTCGGTGTACAATGTGCCCTGGACAATAGTCGTCGATGTGAGGAGGGCCCTGAGCCAGTGCTGGCTGGGCCCAGCGAGGGTCTCGAGCCATTCCTCATCCTTCACCGTCTGCGCGTCGTACAACTCAGCGATACCCTTCGCCTTATCTCCCGCGACGATGACGCAGACGCCGCAACCATTGAGGTTGCGTGCGGTCATGGGACCGACGCCGCTGAGACCATGCGGACCAAAGTCGATAGCGTGAGTAGCCGTTTCAAGGAACTTCGTCCGGCCGCTTGCAGGGCATCCACGTCGACCTACCGGAATCCTGGAAGTGCTCCCCGGAGTCAAATACACGCTGTCACGGTAGCATCGACGGCACGGATAATCGGGCCATGCGCGCGTGTATATGCGAAGGTCAATGGGCTTGTGCGAGGCGAGCAGGTGAGAAGCGGCTAAGTGATGAGAATAGGTAGCTGTTGACCATGGAATATGACATGACGGCGTACCGACCGGGCAGGCGTGTTGCCGTCGCCTGTGTTCTGGGCCGCGAGGCCGGTTTGCGTGTCGCCCGTGCCACAAAGATTCAGTCCCGGGGTGCCAGAGTCAAGCGAGGACCCTCTTGAGCCAAGGGAAAGGGAATTGGAGCGTGGACGAGGCGCCGCAGAGGAAGGGTAGAATGGTCTTGTACCGCTAATCAGGTCGCGCGCCACTAATTGAACTGAGTGTAGTTCAGCTAGCCAAGGGTGGAGGCGGGCTCGCACGTCCTTTGGGACGGCGCGTGCATCTGGGTCGCCAGGCGGGCGCTCGTACCGGTTGCCCGTAGAGAGGTCGTGGTCGAGGGCGCCGTGGTGGTCGAGCGCAAGACGCTGGGCGCTATCTCTCGGGGCACTCGTCGTCGGCACTGGTTCGTGACGCTCGACGCCTCCGGGGTCGAGCGTAACGTCGGCCGCTTCGGGCGTGTTGGTTGGCGCGAATTCAATGTGTTTCATGCCGCGTGTGTGGTCCACCGTGCGCACAACGTGCTTGTTGGTACGCCGGGTAGCGTGGATTCGCGGCGTTGGGACACACTGAACGTGCGGATATGCATATCTTTCATATCGGTGTGCCTAGTGCCGAGTACGACCTGTAGGTTGTCCCCGGCACGAAACTGGATCTTCCACGAATCGCACACACGGCGAGCCCCGCGCTCGTTGGTACCCATGTCCGTGCGGACATGGAGAGACATTGAGGAGAATTCGACATGCCCGATCAGGACGTACCTGCGATGTTCGAGCATTCGCGCTCGTCCTCCTTGTTCCCGCGGCCGGTCTCCGTCTTCTCTTTCCTTAAGTAGCCCTCGTCTTCCTCCTCCTTCCTCTTCGTAGTCTCCTTGCTGCGTCCTCGCTGCGCGAGCATTGTATGCTGTGCATTCCCGGCCTGTTCGCGCGACACGGGATTTGTGCGCTCGTCGCGTGAGTGCTGGGCCGCACGGCCAGTTTGCGCATCGCCAGGGCCGCAAAGGTTCGATTCGAGGGCGCCAGACTCAAGAAGGGAGTCTCCAGAGTCACGGTGCGGGACACTAGAGGGAAGGTGAGGAACCGGGAAGGAAGGAGAGCGCGCTCTTGTACCGCTATTCAGGTCGCTCGCCGCTAGTTGGACTGGTTGTAGTGCAGCTAGACGGGAGCGGATGCCAGTCCGCGCGTCCTTTGGGACAGCGCGTGCGTCCAAGTCGCTAGACGGGGGCGCTCACGCCTGTGGTCGTGGTCGAAGGCTCTGTGGTGGCGGTCGAGTGTAGCGCGTTGTGCGGACGCCCGGAGCGCCCAGTTGTGGCTAAATGGACCCGTCTCCTTACCCTCCTCCTCCGCCAAAGGTGAAGTTGAGACAGACTGTCGTTGGTCACGGACGCTCGCATCTCATTCAGTAGCAATGCTGCATTCTGCACAAGGAAGGACCCCTCTCGAGGTTCTCGAAGCTCCACAAACACTGGGACCACCCGAAATCGAGCAGATGATTTGGCAGGAGGTGAGATGGCATGCTTCTTTGGAAAATTTCGTTTCAAACCAGTTATTAGGTCTTTCCCTCTTTACCACCTCCACCTCAAGCCAACTTAATGGACAGTTATCCCAAGACAGTGATGCTTCCATCAGAAGCAAAGTCACGATTGCCCTGTGCCTCCACCTTTCTGGGAGCTTTCGACGTTGCTGGACGTCAATTATACACCAACATGGTCTTCATTTCGGTTGATGCACTGCAATCGTTTCTGGAGTATCGGAACTTCAAAGATCATGATGTTCAGGTAGCTACCTGCAGATGTATTGGGTTCCATGCATACAATTGACCCCCCTGCTCAGGGCAAAACCTTGCTCAGATCCTGCAAGTGGGTGCAAACTGTTGATATCCTTCTTCCTGGAAGCTTGGAGGGTGGAAGATTCTCAGAGGATGCCTTCAAGGCATCCAGTGTGGCCTGGTCCAAGCTCACCAATCTCACCACTCTCACCATAAGCTACCATCAGAAGGAACCTGCTCCACTGCTGTCCTACCTGCATATTGCTCCTCATCTTCCTCCCACTCTACAAGTCCTCAGACTCAGGCCACACAATGTGTGTGAATGTGTATGTCTTCATCATGGCTTGAACCAAACTTCAACTGAATATGTACAGCCCACTTTGGTCCACCCACTCCAAGGTTTCTGGACAAGTAGATCCTCGTGGTCCACGCAAATAGCTGCATTCAAGAATGTCCCAGTTTTTCACTTCCATGCCAACTTCTATCTGATATGGCCTCCGTATTCCACTAAAGTCAATGCCAAGACATGTAAAGCTTGGACCACTGATCTACCAGGTAAGACTGTCTACACCTACCCAGGATTGTCTCAGTTGGCTGATTGGCATTGCATAGATGGAAATATGTCCCGTATAGTGGTCAGCATTCAGACAGACCTAGATGAGGAATACCGAAGTCAGGTTATTGAGGAGCTACAACACCTCACTCACCAAGAATTGATCCAAAAGGGCTACCTGGAGCATGATGCAGATTTGAACGATAGCTGTGATAGTATGGCCTTCACACAAGCATACACTTGGGAAAGGGGGGACTCTGGACATTGGGATGCAGCCATGAGGCCCATGGATTGGGAAGAGGAGGTTGTCACATATATGACATCTAGCCAACATATGGCAGCTGCATTGGATTGGAGGGTGTAGAATATAATCACAGAACTTGCACTGAGTACACATAGCTGTTATCTCTGCTTGTGAGTGAACATAATCACCAAAATTGTTGTAAGCGGTGAAAAGCGCTATAGCGCTAGCGGATGACACAAGCTCAATACAAGGCCTTGCACGCGTCCTCGGCAGCTCGCCGCCCACGGAGCGGGACACCCTCTGCCGGTGGCTCGCATCAGGCGGCGGGGACATCAGGAGCGCAGCGCCATGCACAAGCGGGCTCGTGCTGGAGATGCGGCGCGTGTTCGCAGGGGTGGCCATGTCGGGGGATGGACATGTCGGGGGATGGGCGTGTGCGAGCGAGTATATTACTACTTCGAGTTGCGCATCAAGGTGGGCTGAACGGTGAGAGGGACATTGTTGACGGTGGTCTGTGGACGGGGCTGGCAAGGGCTGGTCGGCGGCGCAGATAATCGTCATGGCTGAGCTTGCGAGTAATGAAGATGCTTTGACTGGGCAATGGCAGTCCCGTACGCCAGCCCATCGACCTGGCACATCGTGCCCGCCATCCCTCCGCTCTTGACGCTGCATTGGATGAGCAGTTCCCGGTCGGAGTACGCACTCTTGTGCATGCCGTGGGACATCCGGAGGTCGTAATAGAACATCAGCAGGTAGAATGTATACCCAAATGCGATGACCCATTCGATCACCGCGCCGACGTATGCAGTTGTGTAGAGCGTGAGTGCGAACACGACCGCGAGGATGATGTGTACGGACGCGATGATGCCCTTGCCGATGTACACGATACGGCGCTAGCCATCGTAGTCCTGGTTGATCCAGCAGTGGTCGATGATGGTGAAGATCGCATGGAGCCCGACTCCGACCATGAGGACGAGCAGGAAGATGCGGTGCAGGCTCTGATGTCACACAGTGTCGAAGATGGAGAGGAGAATGAGCCCCACTCCGCAGATTCATGACCCGAGAATGACCACCGTTGAGAACACTCGCTCGCGGCGACGCATGTTCGGATGCAGCCTACAAGACGCTTCTCTTAGTACCATGTGGACAGTATCCGGGTTGATTTGACGCACCTTCCAGAATGCCACAGCTACTTCTCAACTACTAGTCTGAGGAAGAACGACACGCCCGTTACGCAACAGCGCTCATGTCCTCGGACGCAGGATGAAGTTTTCCAGCAGCTCGTCGGCGTCCTGCTTGAGCACAATGAGGCGCGCGGTCACGATGATGTTGCGCGAGTCCTAGATAGGCATCTGGCCGTCGGGGCTCAGTCGGTTCGTTTCCATGTGCGTTCTCGTAATCGGCTGCTGTCTAAGGCCAGCCTGCCACTTGCGAATTGACTGGCTCACCGGCCGTTCCCTCATCCGCCCGCCTACTCGCGATTTCGACTGCTCTTGCTCGATCGCCGTTCACCGTCGCTGCCACCCTCTCCGTCAACGCGCGTGGCTCTTGTTGAAGAAAGAGGTTTTAGGCTTAGTAAGCCTAGTGGCAGTGAAGGACTAAAGAGTGAGTGAACAGACCAGTCCCAAAGGGAAGATCCTATGCTGGCAGGCAGAGGAGAGGACAAAGGATTGTTATCATTACAGGGCAAACCAGCCCAGTATATACACATTTGATACAGGTCACATGCTGTATCAGTGGTTCATCAGTAAGTACTAAGTCCGAGGTTTTGGGGATATGAGTAAGCTGGTAAGCAGCATGAGTAAGCCAAAACTCGGAGTTTGATGTGGAGAGATATATGAAACGTGATGGAACATCAGGAATAATATGAGACATGATGGAACATCGAAGAGTAATATAAGACGTGATGGGACATCAAGGAATGATATGGAACGTCATGGAATGTCGTGGAATATCATGGAATGATCCGGACTAAAGTCACATGACATAATCTAGGCAAAGTCCATCAAAGAATGTATGTAATCTGACATCACAGAACATAAGTCCATATCTGTACATAACTGATAAGATAAGAACACTGAAAACTCGGAAGTTCAACACTCCCACTTGTTCAAGATGTTGAGTATCTCATCATGCCAACCGAAGACCTGAATTTCTCGATTCCGCTGAAGGGAACATTCTTGGTCAAGGCATCAGCAAGTTGGTCTTCACTTGCGACAAAATAGATGTCCATCTCCCCACGTTCGTAGAACTCTCAAATGTAGTGATACCGGATTTCTATGTGCTTGGTGCGGCGATCCACGGCGGGGTTCACCGCAAGGAAAATGTTGCCTTGGTTGTCAAGACAAAGTGGAGTTGGATAAGACATGTTGTCTCCCAGTTCTTCTCCAAAATGACGCAGCCAAGCCATCTGACGACAGCAGTCGGAGCTGGCCTTATACTCTGCTTCAGTTGAAGACAAAGATACTGTTGGTTGCCATCTTGACACCCAAGAAACGACACAATTGGCCATGAGGAAAACAAAGCCAGATGTAGAGTGCCTATCATCACGGTCTTCAGCCCAGTCTGAGTCTGAGTAGGCGATCAGACCAGAGTTTGAGCCTCCATCGTAGCAAAGTGCAAGTTCCTTTGTCCCTTGAAGATATCTCAGGACATAGTACGCAAACTTCATATGCTCTTTATGTTGAACTAGGAAGGCGCCTACCGGGCTGCCGGGTTCAATCACAGGCCGGACCGGTTCTATGGGAAGCTCCGGGTCCGTGATGTCATCTATGATGTCATCTGTGTGTTATCACATGGCTACGCCACTTACCTTGTATGTCGTGGGAACGTACTATACAGTAGCTTAGATAAGCGGTCTCCTCATGTATATAAGGACCCCAGTAGCGTAGCTCAATCCCTAGTACCTTCAGTCGAAGTACTTGCGTGTGCATCAAGCATCAGCAACCTTGCAGGTAAGTTGTGAGGGCGCACCACTGCGTGGAGCTGCCTGCTCAACAGGTTATGAGCCCTGGTCACTGCCTGAGTACTGCGCCTCACTGGCTGCGTCTCAGTGTGCGCACCAGCTTACCTGTGGCTTCGCCTTAGTGGCTTGAAGCCAGGGGGGGACTATGCGCGTACATCACTGCAGGTCTTAGCGCAACTCTGTTGCTGCTATCCCCAGCACATGCACCATAGCGGTGGTTGCGCCTCTAAGGCTGCACTTGTCATTGAGTAGAGGGCTGACGACATTGTTGTCAGTATTCCCCATTTACCAAGTTTATCACTTCAAACCCTCTACCAATGGCCTCCAACACCCTCTTCACCGCTGTCCCCATCCTCGATGGCTCCAACTACCGCGCCTGGGCTGAATCCATGTCAGCCTTCCTCATGGCGCAGGAGGTCTGGATCATTGTCAATTCGACCTGGCCCCAGCCTACTCTGGACACAGAGAATCCCTCAGTCTACTACGAGTGGCTGCAGCGCGATCAGAAGGCACAGGGGTCGATCCGTCTTCGCCTGACGTCGTCCGTCAAGGCGGCCGTCAAGAACAAGACGACCAGCAAGGCCCTCTGGGACGAGCTGAAGGCGCTCTATGACAAGCAGACCCCCGCCGGTGTTTACAAGGAGTTTAGGACAGCGATCAATGCTCGGATCCCTCCGAACGAGCACCCAAACCCGACATTCGCTAACATCGCAGCAGCGTTTGACAAGCTTGCGGGCGAAGGGATCGACATCCCCGCTTCACTGCGGGCGATGATAGCGCTCAATGCGCTGCCCTCCCGGTACGACACCGTCGTCACCACAATCCTCCAAGCCAAAGAGCTTACGGAGATGAAGATCGACTACGTCCGGGAGTCTGTCGTCATTGCCTACGAGCAAGGCGGCAAGCAGGCGTCATCTTTGCAGAGCGCGAAGAAGAAGATCTCCGCCGTTAAGCGTAAGCACGGCGAACCAAACTTCAATCAGCAGCAGCAGCGCCAGGATGGCAGCAGCAGCGGCGGTGCGAAGGAAGGTCAAGGCAAGGGCAAAGGCAAGCAGCGCGGTAAACACAGCGGCAAGCAAGTTAAGTCCCGCGCCAACCAAGGAGATCATACGAACCATGCGCATCTCGCCTCGCAGGCGTCAATAGCGGGTCCTACCACCTCCAAAGTCGTCGAGATAGCGCCTTCGGGCAGCAAGTCTCACACCGTCACCACCCGTCCCGCCAAAACCGGCCACAGCAAGAATGCTCACTGGTGGCTCAAGAGTGCCCTCGAGCTCGCCAAAGACATCGACGTCTCTGGCACCTCACAGCGTCTCACAACGTTGTCTGAGGTCGTTGACAATTCCACTCGGATTGAGGAGTACCTCTCCGATTCGGAGTCAGAGTCTCGGGCGTCCAAACGCTCTCGTCATGGTTCTGAAGTAGGCCATGCGATCGACGCGATCATGGACGGGACGTACAGCTCGTACGACGAGGACGAAGGTCCTACGACTCAAGATCCACTTGATTGGGGATTAGACGGTCAGTACGACATCGACGACGAGCTGGCTAACGCCGCCGGCTTAGGAGAGGACTTTGATGCTGGGTCAGTCCCTTCAGCTTCTATTCCCAAGCGACCTACTAACCCTGCGCTTCATACAGCCGCATGTAGTAGTAGACGCACTAGGTCTACTTTAAAGAGACGTAGTATTCGCAGTCGTAGTCGCAGTGTAACGAATGAATATATCAGTAGTTCGTTGCACAAATCAGTTGGTTGTCGGCATTCGCGCAATTTCGCTGCGTGCACCAAATGTAAGGGAAAAGCTAAGGCTTGGCATGAACCAGAGCCGGTTGAGTCGTCAGACTCCTGGATGTTGGACTCTGGAGCATCATTACATTTTTCCAACAATTTAGATGATTTTGCTGAGATTGAGGACCTCAGTGAGCCAATTGTCTTGTCGACCGCAAACGGCTCTGCCGTATGCACAAAGCGTGGGACAGTCTTCTTGAACTTCGAGAATGACGATGGTAGTCATACGACGACCAGATTATTCCCCGTTTATTACTTCCAAGGTCTTCATCAACGTCTCCTATCCATGGGAACGTTCCTCCGTGAAGGAATGACAGTGCGCGGTGGTGCGCAGCACGTCAACCTCTATGAACAAGGAGCGCGTGAACCACTATATGTGTTCAAGCCGCGGCACCCTAGTTCGACGATATTCGAAATACAGTCCTTGCCTTCACAGGATGCAATGAATATCCATCAGACAGTTTATTCTGTCGATTACCACACTATGCATCACTGCCTAGGACATCCTTCCAAGGACGTACTACGGCAAGCACAGAAACACACCGAGGGCTTCCCATCTTCGATAGAGTTCCCTAGGGAGGATCCTATATGCCCAGGATGCGCGGAAGGGAAAATGCACAACAAAGCATTTCCGCCACACCAGGCAGCGTCTCTACCCTATGACCTTGGGGTAGCTGACATGGCAGAATAGCCTATGGCTTAGGGCCAGCTGATGCCGGCCGACGTGACCTGTGGGCGCTATACCCGCTGCTCAGATGAGCGTAGGCGGCGATGCTAGTGGACAGGTGGTGGTTGTCACCACTTGCATTGCGCCTGCAGATGCACACCAGGCAGCGCTGATACCCTATACATATAAGAGAACCGACACGTGAAAACCCTCAATGTTATTGCACAGACAGGCGGCGGCCGACATCTTACAAATGACTATCATGATAGAGTAGCTGATAGTCGGCTGCTCCATGAAGAGTCAGACGCATGTTGCAATAGAAGCGGTGCCTGCGGCCTTGCGAGGCACATAAACGTCGGCAGGCCGGCTGCTTGTCCACTGCCCATTGGCATAGGGCAGCTGATCGTCGGCTGCTCCATGAAGAATTGGACGACATGAAGCAGTGCACATCTTGAGACGGCCGACTGTCGGCGGGCTGACGACCTGTTAGCAGGCTTGCGGTCGGACGATGGCATGAGAAGCAGTGCAGGTGTCTTGAGATAGGCCGCAGCTGATGGCTATCGCAATAAGGCGGCCGATGGTTGGGTGCTCCAAGAAGAATCACGAGAACCGTTGTAGAAGCGGTGCCTGTCAGTTGCCCATCAGGAGAGCAGTCGCACACACTCGGCATTAAATAAGAAGCGGTACAGATTGCCTTCAGACGGGGCAGTCAAACGTCAAACGTTGAGGCGTTAAGCCCCCATTGCTGTACTGCGAAGAAGCAGAATGAGACCAACAACCCGACCATCAGGCCCCAAGTGCAGTCCGCAGGCAATTGAGAAGCGGTGCTCTTTCAATATGGCATAGAATATTTGTATTGTGAAGGTTACACTGTTACATCGGCGCCGTCCTTGCGCTCCAATACTCGCTGACCAGCGGAAGGCCCTCCACTTTGTGTGCTTCTGTCCAGCTGGGGTCCTGATAGCCTTCCCACTGCACGAGGTACTCCACACCCGTGTTCGTGTGCCTGTGGTCCAGGATCCTCTCGACACTGTACCATTCCTCCTCATTTACCACTAAGACAGGCCCTGGGAAGGCCATCCCTGGACCTTCGAAGGCCTGCGAGCGAACAACATAAGGCCCTTGAACAAGAAGTCAGTACATGCAATAGAACAAGAAGTCAACGTACCCAGGAAGTCCATTGGCCTCACTCTCATCACCTCGTATACCTCGTCATTCTGCTCCAGCTGGGAGGATGTCAGTCGCAAGTGACTGGACGCTTGTTGGCTCTCACCGTTTGAACGGACACGCGAGGGCGAGGGCGAAGACTCAACATCCGCCGAACTGCTTCTATGGGTCGGCCTCTTAGGCTCGGGTCAAAGGCCATTGGCGCCCGTCTGCCTAGGTCGAAGCCGCCCATCCCGCCACCATGCGATGGGCCTGCATGCGAGGAAGAAGCCCCCTGCGCATGCGCTCCAGATGCAGGAGTGGGTGACAAGAAGCGGGCGCGCCGAACTTGTCTTCGCCGCGCAACCTGACGCTGTCGCTGTGGTTGGGCAGTGAGAGGCAGTGAAGGCGATATCCTAGGATGCTCGATGCTGGGAGGGAATGGGGCTCCAGGCAGCAGTGGGCCAGACGGGGGCGGGTCCGAAGAGAAGCCAGGAGGGAATGGGGTTCCAGGCAGCAGTGGGCCAGACGGGGATGGGGGCGGGTCCGAAGAGAAGCCAGGAGGGAATGGGGCCCGAGGCAGCAACGGGGGGGACGGGGGCGCGGGCGAGTCAAAAGAGAAGCCAGGAGGGAATGGGGCCCGAGGCAGCAGTGGGGGGGACGGGGGCGCAGGCGAGTCAAAAGAGAAGCCGGGAGGGAATGGGGCCCGAGGCAGCAACGGGGGGGACGGGGGCGCGGGCGAGTCAAAAGAGAAGCCGGGAGGGAATGGGGCCCGAGGCAGCAACGGGGGGGACGGGGGCGCAGGCGAGTCAAAAGAGAAGCCGGGAGGGAATGGGGCCCGAGGCAGCAGTGGGGGGGACGGGGGCGCAGGCGAGTCAAAAGAGAAGCCGGGAGGGAATGGGGCCCGAGGCAGCAGTGGGGGGGACGGGGGCGCAGGCGAGTCGAAAGACGCGGGCGAGTCCGAAGAGAAGCCGGGAGGGGAAGGAATCTGCGCCTGAGGCAGCAGATCATCCGGCGGTTTGTTTGGCAAGAAGCGGCCAGACGGCGGCGGATAAGGAAACTTCGGCAATGCGTCGGCTGGAAACGACGTGAGGCGAGGTCTCCCCGGCCGACAGTACACTTACCTGGTGCTACAGGGCGGGGCCTTCGAACTGAAACCATTGCTGCTGATGGAATCGTTGAGTGTGGAGGGCGAGTGAGAGCGTGCAGGAGCGTGCTCGCTGCGAGTAATGGCCACGATTTAAGGTTTCAAAGTCCGCAGAGAGAACGCGAACGCCGTCGCGCGTGGGATTCAGTCACGTGATACACTCAACCGCGTCAACGTCAAAGTCCAACATTGACGACTTCTTCTCTCATCCCCACTCGTCTTACCCCTTGCTGCTTGCTGCTTCTGCTCCTCAACGTTTCAACCTTCAATATGCACAGAGCAAACAGGGACACTGAACGCTCTGGCCCACTCGGTCACGCCTCCGGCAGAGGCGCTGGTGAGCCTGCGCGCACGAAGGCCTCATCTCCGAGTCCAGAGGACACGGAGCGCATCCTGCAGCTGGCTGGGCGCGTCAAGGCCGTCCTCCAAGCGTCGATCGCCGACCACGATGAGGCCAAGGCAGCACTTCAACATGAGATTGTGAGTCTCACAATCAAACCATTCCACGACTGACAGGCAGCTCCCAGATCAACTCCTGGCCATGGATCCAAGCCTTGGCGGGCAAGGTAAAGCTGAACGCGCCGCTAATCCTTGGCTCGGCAATAGAGCAAGTGGGGTCCTATCAGGGCCGATACCAGCTCTCAGCCATCCGAGAGGATGACCCTTCGCTGGGACGGACCCTTCCCCTGCCCCATCTCAAAAAGGGTGTGGACTTCAGAAGACAGGCGGCGGAGCAAAAGGATTGGTGGAAGCAAGGTAAGTGTATTTCATCTCCGCTTCTAGCTCGTGCTGACGCCACACAAGCGGTGGATGTGGATATGGAGCCGCCTCAGGCTCCGGCAGGGCAAAAGGGAGAGCAAAAGCGGGATGCCCGCGTATCCAACCGTACGTAGCCCGTCTGTTCAAACACGCGGTCAAATAACAGCCCCAACAGCCGTCCAGCAGCTCCCAGTCGAGAAAGCGGGGCAGAAGCATTCAAGAGAGGAAGAGACGAAGGGCCGCGACGAGCAGCAAGGCCGATCCGCACAGAAGCGGCCGCGATACAGCAAGCCAAAGTCCAAGCCGCTCGTCAGCAGCTCGTCGGAGGACGAAGATGCGCTCGCAAGGACGCGGTTCCTCCACGACAAGAGCGCAGGGAAACAGCCACAAGCGCCTGCCGAAACGCCGAAGCAGTACGAGGATGTGTCTGATGAAGAGGAAGAGGAAGAGGCAGAGGAAGATGCATTGGCGGGCAAGGGCGAGGCAGAGGAAGATGCATTGGCGGGCAAGGGCGCCGTGCAGCGCATGGTAAGTGCTCTTTACTTCTCTTCGTTGGTAGACTGAAACCTCTCTTAGCCAATACCCTGCGACCGCTGTCTCCGCGATGAGAAGCTCTGCACGTATTCGACGGCGAAGCCCTCTGGCCGCTGCGAACGATGCCGCGGTGGAAACGCGTGCTCACTGACCCCCCGCAGTGCGAGCACGAACCAGCCTTTCAAGAACAAGCAAGCTGGGGCCAAAGCGCAGGCTTGGCGGGCGTGGGCGCTGGCAAGGCAGAAGGTCAACCTTCCCGTCCCGGATCTGGCAGTTTGGGACGACACGCGAGAGTGCTGGATGGAAGACCTCATCACCTGGGACAATCGGTCGCCCTGGGTGCACGAGGAGCTCCAGGACTACCAGAAGTCTCGCCTGTTAGCTCAGGCAAGCGGCAAGGTCCACCTCATCGCCCGGCGTGGCAAGAATGCGCACGACGCTCCCAAGATGCAGGCGGCGCGGAAGAAGCCCTCCGGCGGCGGTAAGTCTGCCGAGGCAAAGAAGCCTGCCGAGGCGAAGAAACCTGCAGAGGCGAAGAAGCCTGCAGAGGCGAAGAAGCCTGCAGAGGCGAAGAAGCCTGCAGAGGCAGAGCAGCCTGCAGAGGCAGAGCAGCCTGCAGTGGCGGAGAGGCGGCCGAAGGAGGCGAAGAGGCCTGCAGAGGCGGAGAGGCCTGCAGAGGCGGAGAAGCCCGCAGAGGCGGAGAGGCGGCCGAAGGAGGCGAAGAGGCCTGCAGAGGCGGAGAAGCCCGCAGAGGCGGAGAGGCGGCCGAAGGAGGCGAAGAGGCCTGCAGAGGCGGAGAGGCGGCCGAAAGAGACGCAGAAGCCCGCCAAAGAGGCGGCTGCTGAGGCCGCACAAGGGCCCCAGAAACCGTTGGTGCCTGAGCAAGAGGCTCAAGAGCAGCCTGACGTCGAGATGCAGGACGCAACAGGAACTCAAGCAGTAAGTCTTGCAGCGGCTGTTAGATGTCCACTGACCGCTTCATGTGCACCATCAGGAAAAAACATTCTGTCTTAAGTGGTCTTGTGGAGAGCAATAAGTGTCATTATGTGTCATTATGTGCCACAAGTGCTTAAGGTAAGTCGATTTCTTCATTTGTCTTAATTAAGTTCCATTAAGTAACCAAAGTAAACACTCATTCCAAGCAAGAATAATGTTTTTTCATCCTTACTGGGGTGACTTCTCTCATGATTCTGCTGTGTTTGTGCATATGCTGTCATAACAGGCATCCCAGATGCAAAAATGTTGCCCAAAATAATCTGCCATTTCCCGGAATTGAACCCCTGACCTGCTACACTAATTTCTCACACTCTCAGCACAAACTTCTGACCACTACACCATAGGTCCCTGTGCTTGTTCCCTTGCACAATAACCTATATTGACTATCTTTCTGGACTTAGAGAAATCTGCCATTGCTGCCCCCTGTTAGCCCAGCCCCTGTGCATCCCTGGGCTCTCAGACTGGCCTCATTTCTTCTTGGCACTATCTGTTGCCTTGCAGACCTTGTGTAGACTCACAATTTGCTCAAGGCCAGGCTTCTTGTCTCACTTTGTATGCTTAAATGTTCTTTTTCTGTCTTTCGCCCTTAACAGGCCAAATATGTCCAAATCCTTGACAATATGACTTTGACCACATTGAGCAATCTGACATCTCATCATGCATATTTATTAGTTAAGAGGTCATTTGTCAACTAATGTCTACTTATGCATCTTAATCTGTAGTACTGAAGTTGCATATCCTCCAACTTGGGGAAAAGACAAATTTCTCAAAGGTGCTATAGTTCACTTAAGCGGTCTTCATGCACATAGTGCACTTAATTGAGGAACACAAGTTATGAAAGATTGAATAAGATTAGGTGCTCTTCATTCAAGACTGCTGAAGTTAGAAGTGTTTTTCCTGATGACAGGCCAACAAGCCCGCTGGTGCGGCAGATGGCAAAAAGCGGCGGCACCTCACCATCCCCACCATGACACCGTCTCCAGAGCAAGAAATCCCACGGCGCAGAAACAAGCAGCAGCCGTTTGCCTTTACGTTCACGGGGCCTTCCACTGGGCCTTCCACTGGGGCATCCGCGCACACTGCCTTCGCCCACCCGTCGCTTCCACACGCCGCACCTCCACTGCCGCCGCCGGCGTCCTCGCGCGATAGGGCCTTGCAGCTGCAGATCGAAGCCGCTCAGCTGCATGCGCCGTGCGCTGGACAGTTTGCTGGAATCTTCCAAGCGCTCCTGACCAAGATCGACACACAGGCGGACCGTCAGGACGAGCTCGAGAGGCTCTTGCGGCAAGTAGCCGGAGGAAAGACGCTTACACAGTCGTCTGGGGATCTGGAGGACCGGCTAGCCGCTGCCGAGGAGAAGCTGAAAGCTAAGGACGCTCGCCTGCAAGATTTGGAGGACGAGCTCAAGCGGCTGCGCGACGAGCTCAATGGCGTACGGGAGGACTCATACGCCCGCGAAGAACTGGAGGCGCGATGGCAGATGCAAGTCCAGTCTGTCAACCAAGGCCTCGAGGCCGTGGTGTCCCGTTACGAGGTCATGGAAAAGAGACGGGCGGCCCCATCTCCACCGCCTGTTCCCAAGCACGAGCAGAAGCGGGAGGACACGGTCATCAACCTCGTCACTCCGAGCCCGCCTCCCCGAACTCCCCCTGTCCCGACCCCGCCTCCCCGAACTCCCCCTGTCCCGACCCCGCCTCCCCGGACTCCCCCTGTCCCGACCCCTCCTCCCCGGACTCCGACCCCGCCTCCGCCTCCCCGGACCCCGCCTCCCCGGACCCCGCCTCCCCGGACCCCGCCTCCCCGGACTCCCCCGCAGGCCTGGAACCCGAACCCGTACCCTGCGCTGACATCCCCTGCTCCCGATGGTCGGGGCATCTTCTCGTCATCGCCGTTCTCTGAAGGACCTTCCTTCCTAACGATGCGGCAGTCGGACACCGACAGGTCCAACCATGACCTGGGCACTGGCGAAGAGGCGGTTGGGCAGGCACTTGAAGTCGAGGACGGCTCAGCTCGCCACCAGTCACCGCGCCGTGGGCTTCCCCGCAAAGCGAAGGCGCGGGCGGAGACCCATGTGATGGAGGAAGGCGAGTTGTCGAAATAGCGTCAGCACGTAGTTACCGTCTCTTCTTGTGTACTTGCATTCTCTCTGTTGCGTACTGTGCCGCTTGTAACAACTGAACCTGATGCGTATATACACTGATGACCAAGATTTACTGCTCCCAAGAAACATGCGCTCGATGAGACGTGTGCAAGAAGCGAGTACCAGTTTACCAGACCCGCTACAAGTCCAACTTCTGTGGAGCCCGCCTCTCCCTATGAGGCTGCTGCGACATGGCCTCGGGAGCCACTACAACGGTTCCGCTCCTAGGCTTCTTCGAGGGACGCAATGTAGACTCTGCCTCGTAGGCCTGAGGGCCATCTTCGTACGGTCGTCTGCGCGCCTTCGATGCTGATCCTCCCTGCGAAATGCTTCGAGACGCGGTAGGAACCTTTGCCATCTCTTCCAAGTCCATCGCCTGCCCGTCAGATGGGCGCAGCGTCTCAACCTGACCGGGAACGAGGGCCGCTTCTTGCACATGGGCTTTGGGGGCGGGCGAAGGCGACGACGCAGCAGAGAGAGCGGCACCAGGCAGAGGTGCACGAGGCAAGATGGAACGCATTGGCGAGAGAGGGCGTGGTGACAGGCTCTTAGGAACAGCAGGCAAGTTGGGAGTGATGGCAGGCGGCGCAGCGGGTGCCGGGGCTTTACCGAATACGTCCACAATCCGGGCGTTTGCAATAGGCTGAATAAGATCAAGCAGCATGTTGCTCGACGCAATGCCGAGTTGCGTCGCCACAACGAAAGGAGGTATCCCTGCCGAAGGTGGGTCGTCAGGGTCATTGACAAACTGGGCGCTATCGATGTCGCGGAGAGCAAGTCCGACAGCGAGGAGAACCTGTTCGACTTTGCGCAGCGCTGCTTTCCCCTCGGAGACCCATACAGTAGCGCGCAGATACGTGATAAGTGGGTCTAGCCCGCTGGAGGATTTGTGGACTTCCTGAGGAAGAGATTGTGAACCCCAACTCCATGACGCCCAAGGCACGCCCGGAATGGCAGGGGGGGTATAGGCGGGTCGCGGTTGGCGTCCAGGCTTGGCCGCAGCGATAATCGCGCGAGCATATTCGTTGCACAGAACCATGTACCGCCTGTCGGTCGACAGGGATCGCAAGAAGTTGACGCGCATACTCGGGCGAGCGGCTGAAGGGGCCATCCCATTAAAGGGCAGCTCTGCTGGGATGGGCTCGGCGGTCGCCGTTTGCGTGCTTGTGGGCTTCACGGCAGTCGACCCCTCAGAGGCGTCTCCTGCCTGCTCTTCAGTGTCATTCACTGAGGGCTCCGGTGAGGACCAGCTGGGAGACAACGATGGAGAGGGGGTCTCTGACGGTATGGCCTTCCTTGCTTTCTGCTTCCCTAAGGCTTTTGCAGACAGGTGCGGCGCAGCGAGCTGTTTCCCAGATTGGCCTGCCATTGTGCAGTCAGCAACGATTGACTGGACGCGGGCCAGCTATACGCACCGCTTCCAGATGCCATGTTCGCCCCCCCTGCCTGTGTCTGGGTTCCAGGTTGCTGAGCCATCCGCGTGCTGGCTGCTTGTTTGTCGACCGCCTGTCTCTCCTCCGCCTGTCTCTCATCCTCGCGCTGTCTCTCCGCTTCTCTCCTGGGTGCGTCCTTGATCCACCGTGCGAGCCATTCATCGTACCTTCCTGGCTGCACATCCTCAGGATCGTCAATAGCAGTGTCGCCGTCATCCTGCAACCAGCCCGACATCCGAAATGCTCTCCCTTCGTCCGTGTCTTGTAACTGCCCCCAGTATCGGATCAGTTCAATGCACTGCGATTTCCGGATCTTGGACGGCTCATCAAATTTTACGAAGTCCGGCCATGAGCCGTCTTCAATCCACAGGGACGTGTCGAGTGCCTTGGCGCGTTTCCAGGGGATATTCCGCTTCTTTCCATTAGAAGCCGCGGCTAGTCTCTTATTAGCGGCGCATGCTATCAAGGACATCGACGCTCACTGTGGTGATCATTGAGGAACTGTCGAACCATGAACTGCCACTCCTGCGCGGTCTTCATTTGAAGTGTGTCGAGCTCTTCAGGTGGAGGAATCCTCGGCAATCCCGTTGCCTCATCGGTGGCCAAGAGCGGACCAAATCCCGTCCTCTTCTGTGCTTTGCTCACATTGCCCGAACGCAAAACGGACTCCGCCTTCTTTCCCAATAAATCAGTAGCCCAATCCTCCCAGTCAGACCAGAGCTTCGTCGGATTCCAGTCAGGGTCATCGGCCACGTCCGAGAAGTTAGATGGTGCACCAAATTTGGCATTATGATCCATGCTGCCGCATCATCAGCATCAGTCCGAAGGATGAAAGGGAACACTGTACAGGCCCGCAACTGGTCCTTTATCCGTTGTGTTGCCCGCAAACAGGAAGCAGACGCGGACTCCGTTTTCAATCCACAACTTCTTGGCAAATGTCTCGCACTTCGTGTGGAGACTGCGACTCAACGTCCTAGTTCACGGCAGCTTGTTAAGCAAACAGGCATCCACCAAGAGGCCAACCCCAGATAGGCGGATCACTCACTTTGACGGAAGCACGGGCGGCTCCACGTTGCCGATATTCCCATGGATCAAGCCGCGGATCTCCTTACCCTGGGCCACATATTCCTTTTTCTCCGCAGGAGGTACGAGTGCCCAAAGCTCGTACGTCTTCGCCCTAAAGGCCCCGAACTGCTTCTTTTCCTTGCCACCGTACGCCGCTTCATATATCTCCTCCCGCTTCTCGCGCCGGAACACGTCCAAGCCGCGCGTGGTGCCGGAAACCCCTGTCTTCTGCTTCTTCTTCTTCCCCCCTTCCTTACAGTTCTGTGCGAGCCATTTCAGGACGGCCTAAACACGCGGTCAGCACGTTCAATGATCCAGAGACATCTTCCCTCACCGCCTTCTGTTGCTTCTCTGTCAATTGTTCCAAACTCTGCAGCGGCATGGTCTTGAGTTGCCCCAGGACATCGTCGACGACCTTTCTCCTGGCTGGCTCTTCGGCCAGGCGAAAGGCCGCCGTGTACGCCTCCATGGTGGCGAGCTGATCGTCCGCCCAAACTGTGAGTTTCTTCATGACGAGTGGGGAGATACACCACCTGCCACTGCCATCGGGTGAGCTCATATGCATTGCGATGGGCCGACATTCGCGTGGGCGATGGCACAGCAGCAATCAGAGGCAGCCCGACGGGGCATTATCTTTACGCCTTTGACCAGCTCCATGCGACACCTGTCCATTGACAATGGTCCTCCTTGCCTAGCTGCCAACGCCACTAGGGAAGTATCAACTGAATACAGGCAACGGTGCAATTGATCACATCCCTCCCGAGTTGTGGCCCCTCTTCCGAGTTGTGGCCCTTCTGTAGCAATTCGCTAGTCTCAATCCAGACGTCATAGAGGTGTGGCTGTCAAGCAGACTTCGAAAAACTCATGTTGGACGATGATGACGACACAAGGCACACTAAGACTGGTATGGCGAGGAACACATACAACAAACAACGACGGCGTTCATTTTGACCTGCAAGAGCCTTGCTCTCCTAGCAAGGGAGGCGTCCGTCAGGACTGCCTATTCCCCCATGCGCCCCAATTCCTTGGACCCGTCCCCAACATATTTTAGCCAATTCTGCTCCACCAGGGTGTTGATGAGAACCTCGACCGCATCGTCTTGCCCGTCCCAGGTGAGGACTAGAAGGGTCCACGTGTAGCGCTTGCCGTCGCGGGTGCGAAGCTCCTTTTTCACCAGGTGCCGCCCGTCGTCATGCCCGACGCTGGTGTCAAGATATGTACTGTGGTGAAACATCACCTAGTGTAAGTATTTCATGGCGGAGTTGGGAGCACTCACAACCGATTGTGGGAGTTTTCTGGGGTCCCAGGGATGCCCATGAGATGCGGCTCCATTGCCGTTAGGTGCGCGGAGATCCCTATGAGCAACGTCGGCGTGTCGCGGATGCGGAGGGTAGACCCAGCATCGAACATGGTGGGTTTGGGTTGACGATGGGAATATACGAACTAAGGTTTCCACCACTCCAAGGCGATTGAAACTGAGCTGAATGCACTTCAGCGACAGACGTGACATATGGGCACAGATCGCACGATTTGACACGTTTATGTCAGGACAGATCCAAGGATGGACCCGCTTGTCAAACGGCGGTCCTGATTAAGAGACGGTACCTCCATACTCGAAATGCCGCCAGCGATGGCGTGCCAGCCTTGCTCGGACGTTTTGCGTGAGCGTCTTCAAAATTTCGTTCTTCTTTTTTGTCTTGCTGAATGCGTTCACAAGTACTAGGCTGATTGAAGCAGATTGGCCGTGCATCATACTATGGAGCCGCCCGCATCCGCACCCCCGCAAGGCCCGCACTCAGCTGTCTGGCAGATAAACGTAGAGGAGGCGGTCGCGGCGCGCCAGTTCTCACGGTTCGGACGTATGGACGTTCAAACGTTCAACGCGTACGTTCAACCGTTCACTTGTACATTTTTGCACGATGCTCGACTGGCTGTACATGGTCGCCGTCAAGTCGAGACGCACGTGCGCTATCGACCGGTGGCTAAATGGACGCCCCTCCTCCTCCTGAGGCGGGGTCAGGGCGCAGCTAAGTACGAACAGTATAATATATACGCAGGTCGCGTGAGGTGTCAGGTTGGACGATGATGACGACACAAGGCACACTAAGACTGGTATGGCGAGGAATGCAAACAACAAACAACGACAGTCGAAAGGGGTAGCGTTCATTTCGACCTGCGAGAGCCTTGCTCTCCGAGCAAGGGATTCTGAGCGGGAACGATGGAGAGATCCAATTTGGGAATGGAGTAACTGTTCTGTTGGAGAAGTGCGCGCTTAAGTGACCAACGCTTCTTGGCACTCCTCAAAAGGCAGGCGGACTGACAACGGTTTGGTAACGTGTGAGTCCACGTGCCACGTGCGACACTAAAATTGCTTGTTGACCCAAACCACCATGTCCGGGTCAGGAAAGCCACACAAGCTTCCTCGCAAATGGCAGGTCCTGGGCTCTACCCAGAGACTCAAATTTGTCCGCCCTGTGGCAACAAAGACGCGGAGAGGGGTTGACTACAAGATGGTGGAAATATCCAGGGCTGATGGTAATCAGCCTCTGATTCATCCACCCCCAATAGGCGATCTGCCGAGCCACGATCCACGGGATCCGATGGACCCCAGGAACCACATCGACGTTGCGGACCTTGTTGGCATCCATGGGCCACTGCCTAAGCGACCCAAAGACTCGGGATCAGTAGGTGCTAATCTATAGTTGTGGGTGCCTGTCCTGAAGCGCCCGACAGACACAGGCTGATTTCATGGACGCATGGTTGGCTTTACGGGAATCGTTCTTGGAGCGCCTAATCGAGCTTGAGGGTCCAAGAGAGAAGCGGAATTGTGCCGATTGCCGAGCAGAGTGGAGCCCGTGGCGCTGCATTGAATGCGTCGGCTCACCCAGTTTGTGCACCGACTGCTGTCGCCGACGACACGCAGCGAGTTATTTGCATCCCATAGAGAAATGGATCGCTCAAGAGGCGGATGAGGCAAATGTACGCTTCTTCTCGGACACAGACGGCAACGACAATAGCGACGACGGTGAAGCGGCGGACCCCATCCAGCAAGGCCCAATTGAATCAGAGGAGGGTGAGTCGGCCGCCTCTTCTCAGTCTCTTGAGCCCGTCTTATATCGTCCGGTTCAGGTTATTACGCACCAAGCTCTCTCTATGATGTCGGGATCCGAGTCTTCTTGGGTCACTTTGGGCAGTCGTGCCCTCTAGTCGCCATGTATGGCGGCACCCAACCATGTAAGCGGATTACAGTGGTCGACATCACCGGCGTGCACAGCATACGGGTTTCTCCATGTGTATGCCACACTGCTGAGCCTGAGGCTATGCAGCTTCTCTCCATAGGGCTCTATCCCGCCTCTGTCCTTGCACCCCGGACTGCTTTCACGTTCCGGGTACTCAACGACTTCTTGCTGGCCAACAAGATCTCAGGGAGTGCTGCCGAGAGCTACTATCAGCGTTTGCGCCGCCTGTCGAACCCCGCGTTTCCTCAAGCCGTGCCTGTGAGAGCGGAAGCTTTTCAATATGGCGCTGTCTGACTGTTTACAGGACCGCTACCGCGAGCTTCTGCGTGTCAGCCGACAGTGGCGAAACCTCAAATATCGCAAATGGAATGGCTTTGGTCACGAACGAGGGCCAGTGGGTCCCGGTGAGCTTGCGCTGGGATGTGTGGCCTGTCCAATGCCCGGAGTCAACCTCAAGGCAGGTTGGGAACAGGATCCCGATCGGTAAGCGCCCCGCTTGTTCGTTGCAGTCCGGGAGACAAGCCTTTTGCAGGTGGAAGTTTATGCAGACGTTTGTCATGGACGGCAACTTCAGCGCCGAGCATCTGAAGATGCGCTGCCCCGCGGATGATGTAGCCATCGGTGACGGGCATGGCTTCATGGTGACAGATGCACCGTACAAGAATCACCTCCAGGGCACATTGGAACAACGAGAGGTAGGTAGCTCAGCTCGGCGGTTTCTTAAGCTCATGGCACTCTAGCAATCAAGCTGTCACGCTCATCGTGCCGTCAATCAAGCCAATGCCGACCGCCATGACATGGAAGCTACAGGCATTGGCGCAGTTGCCTGTGGGCGACATGGTTGCTTCATCCCTCATGCGGTGGTGGATTTCCAGAAGGGGGAACGGTGAGTACAACATCCGTCGTCTGCTTGAAGAGGCTAGCTTAAAGGCTCCAGACAAATGAACATGGATTATGCGCTTTCCCAGGCGCTACGGCACCACACAGGCATCCAAACGTTTCTTATCATGTACGACATCGCATGTCAGTACAGCAAGAAGGTCCTGGCGAGGTTTGCTCAGGGCGCGCACCTCAGCTGGCCTGAGGCGGCTGACATATTTTGGGGAATTGGCCTGTTCCACATCCATGGCCACCAGCGCGACTGTTTACCAAAGTACTCGCCTTCATTCATTCCTGGCGCTGGACAGGTAGACGGCGAGATCATCGAGACATTATGGGCCCCGCTCAATCGGATATCGGGCAGCACACGCGCCATGGCAACATCTCATAGGAAAGAGGTCATCGACGACCATATGAATGACGCCAATTGGCGAAAGACAATCGGCATGGGTGTGTTTGCATTGCCGACACTGTCAGTCCCCCGCTTACCCAAAATGCAGTGAAGATGCTGTCTCGGAGGTTCATCCAGGCTGAGAAGCAACAGGAGCTGTGCCAAGAGCTGCTACAGGAACTCGAGGAGTCTAGTGACGCAGAACTGTTGGCCAAATGGAAGGAGCTTGAGATGAGAGCGCGGATGGAGAGAGGACGAGATCTGTCGGTCATGGAGTCCTATGAGGTCACCCAAGAGAAAGGTGCGCGCTTGTTGAATCGATATATCCGGGATGCAGTCTTGACAGTGATGCAGCCCCTGGTAAGAAGCAAATGCAGCTTCTGCTTGAACAAGAGGAGGGCAAACAGAAGGACAGCCCCGGATCTACGTCATGGCTGGCGGAGGGAATTTTGATCCAGGAGCAACAGTGGGTGCTGCAATCTGAGAGTCGGTATTGCGCTGATGTGAACAGGCTCGCTGTAAGCGCGCTGGCACGAAAGCTGAAGAAGCACGCCTTACTGGCGGACAGACTCCAGCTTGTGGAGAAGCGCAACAAATTGAAGCGAGCGGTGGATCGCTTTTCGAGCAAAGCAGCTGGCTACTGGAAGCAGGAAGATGATGAGGAGGCAGACGATGAAGCGGCCCGACACCCTGGGGCCTACGCCGGAGAGGAATGGGAGGATCTTGAAGAGGAACCTGATTTGGGCGAGGATCGCATAGTGATGGATGAACCTGAAGATGAGATATTGCCGGAGTCCATCTCACTTCTGCTGCCATCGACATTGGGGAAGGTGAGGTTGGAAGAGCTGGGGAAGGTCGAGATGGGTCGTCGGGAGCTCCGCCTGAGGGAGGGTCAGGCAAACGATGCCCTCCACCGACTTCGTATGGCCCTCGGCATGAAATCCGTTCTATTCCGCACAAAGGTTCGCCTCGCTAACAGCCAAAGGACGAAGACGAGAGCATACAAGGACGTCAGTGGAGTGACGAAGGTCATCACAGAGTGCGCCCGCCTGTACACCTTGGCTCGAACGGGCATGACACGGGTGCTGATGGGGGACGCCGAAGCGGCCAAAATGGAGAAGCAGTTCAAAGACTATCACAAGGCCATGGGTCGGGACTCATCACAGCAAAAGGGGGTGGGAAGCTCTGGGCAGCCATCGCAGCCGAACAGCAGTGCCCAGGTGGAAGCCAAGCAAGTGTTTCGTGAATGGCTGAAGACGCTGCCACCACAGCTGCAGCGATACCGACCTCTGACTAAAGAAGATCTCAAGACGACGACACACTTGCTAGACCACACAGAGCGGAAAAGCCGTCACAAAGAGCTATCGTGGATATGGGCAGTCGATGTGGGAGGGGATACGGAGAGCTCAGAGTGGCTAACAGAACGTGCGCGTCTTGCCTTACCGATCTGAGGAACGTGCTCATGGGCCCCCAGTGCACCGCGTGAACTGGCTGCGAGAGAAGGCCAAGTGCGACCGCTGGCGAGAGCAGCTGGTCCTGGTGGGTGAGGAGATGCAACAGACGGCCCGCTCATTCGAGTTCAAGGCCCGTCAGTGGAAGATGCGGTGTCACGGGAGTTCAGGACACCAAGCATATGCGCGGCGACAAGCGGCGCTGTGGCTCAGTCTAGCAGCGGATGCCCGTGCAGCCTACACAAAGCTGGCCACTTGAAGATCTGCATTTGGGTCTTTACAGTACAGTACATTGACCGCGAGGCTTTACATCGACCAACTATTGAATGTCTGCGGTTCGGACGGACAGGACAGGCAGAGCTACTGTCGTACAGGCGGGAAAACTCAGGTACCTGCCTCCATAGTGCAGCTTGTTTGACAGGTGGAACGATGGGTGAGAGACGGTAAATACAAATCACGCTATGTCAAGCAGACGCTTCACCGCATCTTGAGTAGACTCACATTCCGACGCAAGAGAGGCGGTGATGAGGTCCGGTCGATAGAATGGGTCAGTCACAGGTAGAAGAGGCGGCGGTTGGGCATCCCCATCCACCTCAGCTTGCAGGTTGCGGATGGCCATCGTGCATTGTCTTTGCATGACCGCAGCGACAATATTCCTCATGTGGATAGAGACCTTCAGAACGCGACCCAGGTCGGGGTCTGGGTGGCGCATGTCTGCACGCCGGGTGGCGCGATCTCAATGTTGTGCTGGTCACGCCGGGTGCTCCAACATGCTGTCGATCTCTGTCGACGCCTTTTCAATGGCTGAGCGGATGCAGCAATCTAAGTCAACCGCTGCTCTTCACAAGACGAGCCTCGTACCTGATAATGATGTCATTTTGGGTGCTTGTTTTAGTCTCTTGACGCTTGACTGTTGCAGTGACGGGATGATTGTTCGTGCACGTGAGGCTGCGAGGTTGTCTGAACTGAATAGCCGGTGGCACTGCACAGCTCCGCACCTCACATAGTGATCCGCACCGCTCGACGGCCGATCTGCGGAGTCGGGTAATTGCAAATGCAACATGCACGTCTCCACGCTCTCCCGGTACAAAACAGGCAAGGATAGAGCACCCTCATTGGCCATCCGGTGATTAACCGGGCTTCCCAACACCGTGTCAAAGCCTCTAAGCCTGCTATTGGCGGCTACCAGTGCTTCGAAATATTGGATGGCGTTTCAACAGCAGGATTCCAACAGAAGCGGTGCTAAGTCGGCCGCGTGCTGCCCACATTTGGTCAGTACTACCCCCCAATTGGCATTGGTGTTTGCAGTCGGTTACGTAGAAAGAAGCGTTCAAGGTGGTTGTTGCATGGAAGGTTGTAAAAGGCGTAAGATGATACCCCGTTGGGCTGGCACTTTGAAACAGTTGGCGCCGCCCACGAATATTTCATGAACTGGCCCGAAAGTGTTGGCAAGTGGCATATCTCCTCAACTCGCTATGTCACTCCAAATCGTGCCCTGGGAGCCAGAGCAGCTCCCAACACTGCAGCGCTCAGAGTCAGTCGATGCGGACATTAACACCGGCAATGTGCCCCCGTCTCGGCCCGTGCTTCCGTCAAAGTGAGTGATCCGCCTATCTGGGGCTGGCCTCTTGGTGGATGCCTGTCTGTCTAACAAGCTGCCGTGAACTAGGATGTTGAATCGCAGTCTCAAAAAGAAGTGCGCGACATTTACCAAGAAGATGTGGCGTGAAAACGGGGTCCGCGTCTGCTTTCTGGTTGCGGCCAACACAACGGATATAGGACCAGTTGTGAGCCTGTCAGTCTCCCCTTTCATCCTTCGGCCACATGCTGATGATACGCAGCGTGGATCATAATGCCATAATTGGCGCACCATCTAACTTCTCGGATGTGACCCGTGACCCCAAGTGGAACTCGACGAACCTCTGGTCTGACTGGGAGAGGTTCGCCACTGATCTATTGGGAGAGAAGCCCCGGTCTGTTTTGGATGCGAGAGTAGCGCAGCAGAGGGCAGACTTCGGTCGGCTCTTTGCCACCGATGAGGCGACAGGATTGCCAATAATTCCCCCGCCTGAAGAGCTCGAAAAGCTTGAAACGAGGACGTCGCAAGAGTGGCAGACGATGGTTTACCAGTTCCTCGTTGAACATCACAGTGAGCGTCGATGTCCTGGATAGCGTGCACCGCTAATAAGAGACAAGCTGCTGCTTCTAATGGAAGAATGGGGTATGTCCCCTGGAAACACGCCAAGGCACTCGGCACGTCCCTGTGGCTCAAAGGCGGCTTATGGCCCGACTTCGTCACATTCGATGAGCCGCATAGTATCAAGAAGGCTCACTGCATTCAACTGATCCGGCACTGGGGGCAGTTACAAAACGAAGGGAGAGCATTTAGGATGTCGGGGTGGCTTGCATCTGATGCCAAGCACGGCATGCAGCCTCCCATGTACGATGAGTGGGCCACACGGGACGCGCAGAGGAGAGAGGCCGAGAGACAGGCCGAGAGACAGGTGGCCGAAGAACAGGCGGCCGCAGACCAGGCGGCCGAAGAACAGGCGGCCGCAGAACAGGCGGCCGAAGAACAGGCAGCCGAAGAACAGGCGGCCGAGAGGCAGGCGGCCGAAGAACAGGCGGCCGAACAGGCGGCCGAAGAACAGGCGGCCGAGAGACAGGCGGCCGAAGAACAGGCGGCCGAAGAACAGGCGGCGGTCAGAACGTGGATTGCTGATCATAGACAGGCGGCCGAGAAACAGGCGGTCGAAGGACTGCCAGCCGAAGAACAGGCGGCGGCCAGAACGTGGATTGGTCAGCGAAGACAGGCGGCCGACAGACAGGCAGACGAAGGAGAGGTGGCGGAGAGACAGGCGGCGGTGGCCAGAACGTGGATCGCTCATCAAAGACAGGCGGCCGAGAGACAGGCTGTCGAAGGATTGCCTGCCGAAAGACAGGCGGCGGCCAGACAGACGGCGGTCAGAACGTGGATCGTTCAGCAAAGACAGGCGGCCGAAAGACAGGCAGCTGAAGGACAGGCAGAGGTGGTGAGCGCGGCGTATGGAAGCAGTGCATATGGCCGGCTGATGGCAGACCGCCCTCTGGAACAGCCCACCCCGCCGTGCCCGTTGGAGTTGTCGATCGCAAGGTTCCCCTTCGTGTCGGGAGATGCCGCCTTGCCGCCCTCCTCTCCACCCCGACCTCGTGGGGCGCCGCCGCCCGGGTTTTCCTGGGCACAGTTCCCCTCTACGCCGCCCGTGCAGCTTCCGCGAGCTGCAGCGGAGTCCGTCAGTTCAAGTTCGTCTGGGTCATCGACCGTGCGCTCTGGCAATGAAGTCCGTCACTCTGGAAAGAAGCGGCTGCTCCTGGACGATGCCCCAGCCACGTCGCCACCGCGACATTTCAAGAGGCCGAGAAGCGGAAGGGCTGTCGAAGAGCAGTGCAGCAACACCGTCTCATAAAGTAGAGGTTGGCGGTTTCTTGATTAGTCGTTCCCATCTTCCGACGCTTCTTGGCCGCCGTGGATGTTTGTAAGAACAAGAAGTGACTTAATAGACGAATTTCGAGACAGCGAATGCATTAACATGTACATAGCAGAAGAGATGGTTTGAGGTAATACATGTCCTAGTACGTTCCCAGCAGACGCTTCACATTCTCTTGATTGCACCAAGACACCTTAGGTGCCCCAGCATACTCACACACTCGGTCCTTCATGAACCAGGCGAAGGAGATGCGGTCCCCTACGAACTTCTCAACCGAGTGCGGGAGCATACGCGCGCAAAACGCCAGCACACTGCCAGGCGGTTGCTGGAAGTCGACCGGCAGAGTGGGAAGAATGATGTGGCCACCGGTGTAATCGCCAATTGAAGCAATGACATCGAAAGCAGGGTACGGCGCACCGGGGTCCGTATGCAACGGGCTCACTCGGTTGTTGATCACCTGCAGGGCCGTGAAGCAGGAAGGCCAATGAGCGAGCACCTCGCGGAGTGGTTCCGCATTCCCCAAGGTTTGGTGCGCCCGTACGCCTATCTGGAACTGCTCTGGGTGGATGACAGACAGGATGGCTGCCATCAGGGCATTCGTCTCCGCCATCTCGTCGAGGAAGTGGAGCCCGGACTCCCGCTTGTCTCCGCTCAACGTTGCAGAAGTGGTAGGCTTTTCAGACTGCTGACCGTTAAGTATTGTGCATAGGAAGATAGTTCAAAACATACCGGGCTTCCTATTGGATACCAGGCGGGAGCAAACGTCGGGGCACCAAGAGGCGCAGCCGGGTTAGGAGGTTGAATGAAGTTTTGTTCATTGCGTCGCCAGCTGGGCTTCGATTCGCCTGGTATAGGCTTATTCGCACTGAACTGCTGGCGCGCACCTGCCATGGCCGTTTTCATCGCGGCCTCCATAGCCTCGTTAAGGTTGCAACAAATTGCTAAACATCATGTGCTTACCTGACGTTTATGCGTGAGGATATTGGGAAGGTACCATGCGAGTATATTCCCAAACTTGTCGACCACCGTGCAAGGCGCGGTATAGGCGGATTGACTTCGGCCGTAGCAGCGTCCATAGCGGCGGAGTTCGCGGTCAATAGCGGGGTCCGCAGTTCCTTTGGACTCCTGCAGACGAGCGCAGTAACGATCTGCATCTATGTCTCGGGCAATGACTGGCCCCCAATGAGCTGCTGCTGGGGCGATGGTGTCGACACTTACCGACAGAACTGAAGGCATTTGCTATGAGAGCAGCGGCGTACCCACAGTCCGCCACAAGAGAGGCCGATATAAGATCAGGCCGATAAAATGAATCCGTCGAGGGCAAAAGAGGCGGCATCTTGATATCGTCCTCGCCTTCGGCCTGCAGCTTGCGACAGGCAATCACGAACTCTCTATGCATGACCGCCGCAACAACCCTCACGAGGTCAGTGGCTGAGCGCATGCAACAATCTGTCAACCGCCGTGCTTGACATGGCAAGTTTCGTACCTGACAGCGTGGCCATTTCGAATCCTTGGAGCGTGGCCATTTCGAATCCTTGGATGGGCTTCTGAGGAGCAGTGACGGACAAGAGCAAGAGGTGAGAGCAGGTTGTCATCAACGGGCCAGACGCCACTTGGCCTGATTGATCGGCCCGATAAGCTTTCGCGATTGCCTGTCATTCCCAATGACAAACTGGTTTGCGAACTGCTAGTCTCGATCCAGACGTTATAGAGGTGCATGCGCAGGTGTCAGCGGACTTCGAGAAACTCATACCACAGCCACCTCCATAACTGGCTGTGGCCTGACATCTATGCCCTTGTTGCGCTTCTGCGCAAAGGGAGGAGTTCTCAATGTAAACAATCCGAGCACGAATGACATTACAGAACACATACTATCTGACACGTGAGTCTCTTTTCAATCGCATGTGATGGGATTCTACTGAATGAATGTTGGGGATCGTAACGCAAGAAGGACAAGAAAGAAAACAAGAAGACGACCGCGGTTGGGCGAAAGCCTGTGCCCGAAGGGCGCGGCGATCCGACACAAGTCCCGTGTTGTCCGATGGCGACCTGTGGTGGCCCGAGTCAGCCGCGAGGGCGGGATGGGCCACGAAAGGGTGTGGTGAGGTGGGTACTCGAGCACAAAACTCGTGAACGCTACGGATGTATGATTGTATGTACTACTGACAAATGTGGAGAATTGATCAAGGAAGGCGCGATTCTTGCAATTGCTACACTGCGGTGCATACTTGATTAACCCATCGTGGTGATAGGAAATGCTTAAAGACACTATCGGCGTACCTCTCTTCATGGTGCGCCACCTCAGAGACATAGTGCACCCTCTGCGGCCCAGGCGACTCTGGCGAGAGTATCTTGAGTCTCCGTTGCTGCCCGCTGCACCTGCGCCAGGTGCTCATGAACCGGCTGCCTCTCTCCCGGTTTCAAGAAATTCGTCCATGGCCACGGTGTGTCTCGGACTGCGCTATGACAAGCCTGTACTATGTAAATGCGTGTCCTATTGTTGACTTTGTCAACTCACTGGTTCTGGTATCATTAGAGGCTCGCCGACTGCTCCGAACGATATTGGCTGAGGATGGTATGCGGCGATCATTGGGGGGAAAATGTTTAGCCAAGTTCCAGAAGCGTTGAAGGTTTGCCATCGCTCCTTCCAGCTAAGGCGGGCGTTCTGGCGGTCGATCAACAAGATACAGTCTTGCCCCACATCCCCCTTCAACTCGAATGCCACCCAGATGCTCGAAGCTGCCACCGCTGTAACCAATTTTCCACAAAATGGTCTGACCTCTTCCGCTGCGGCTGGGATTAACGCGACCTCCATGCCACTCTGAATGCAGCATGGAGGGGGTCCGATGATGGTGACGATGGATCCTCCTTCCACATCCTCCTTAGATTTCGTTAGGAAGCGTATGTCCATGCGGGTGTAACTTTCCGCAGCTAGTGGAAGAGACAGAATTGAAGAGTGGATGTCTAGCGAAGGGGCTGGGTTCAACATGGTTGTAGCAGAAGATCAGGGGGGGATGATATGGCCTGGCCGCCAGTGGTTTGACGTTCCTTTTAACAAATCTGAACCGAGCAGTGGCGTTAGAGGAGGAAACCGCTTGACCTAAAAAGGGAGTGGAGGGTGGGGTCTCAAAAGCTTATAGTGCCGAGCAGGCAGTCTGCTGAAGGTGGCGGGCCCACTGCGTGCCATTTGCGACGCGACATGGTCGTTGAGACAAAGAATGGAAAATTGCCCAGACACACATGCTGGGACCACATGTACTACCGCATGGTCGGCAAAGGTTCTACATCATGCTTATACACGTTGCAGTGCTTGCCGACCGGACCCAGCAGCCGAAGTGTACCGCTTGTCTGGCCAGGTGGTCACTGTGGGAAGGAGGCAGATGCGCGACTTAGTCTTTCACAGAACAAGCGGACCTATGATCATGAGATCCGTCTATCAACAAGCATTGTGCATTTTTAAGAGACCGCCCCATTTCATACGAGCAACGTCATCAGAGTAAGTTGCGGGGCAGAAGGACGTCTGTCTACTGGCACATTGAACCAACTGTACTGCACAATATCCAATGCGATAAGCGGTCATCTGTCTCTTGTTAGGTGTCGCCAATGTCGGAACCCGCGCTCCCGACCACCCGCTCATCATGTCTCCGCCTCTTCGATGTCCGCCTCTTCGATGTCCGCCTCTTCCATCTCCGCCTCTTCCATCTCCGCATCCCAGCCGCTGCCAGCATCGTAGGCTTCATAGCCGCAGCCCTCACTACCGCTGGCATTGTCTTCACCGTCCTCACTGCCGCTGGCACCGTCTTCATCGTCATTTTCATTGACGAGGTCGCTAAGCCACTGCATGGAGCCACTGGCAAGCCTTTCGTCTCCAGATGGATCGGCGTGCTGAGACTTATTGTCGTTCACGAGGGCGACAAGCCAACGCAAGACATATTCATCTTGGACGGGAGAGGCCTGGGCGTAGAGGGTCCACGTGCGCCGCTTGCCGTCCTTCGTGATGACTTCCTTTCGGAGCACGTGCTGGCCCACCATATGTACGAGCATGACCCTATGGTCAAGGCTGTAGTGATATGTCAGTTTGTGCATGCAAGTCAATAGAACTGCCTACATATCATTTTCCTCCACTTCGTCAAAGCCCTTGAACCAGGGCTGAATGGCTTCTACTGACAGTTGGAGGAGTTGGAACAGCACGTAAAGGTTGTCGTGCCAAACATAGGAGTCGCGGTTGCACATGGTGGGTTGGTTGTTCGTTGTTGAGATGCATGTACATAAGGTTTGTGCCACCCCAAGGCAATTGAAACTGAGATAAATTTGACCGTACAATGGCAGACCCATTACCATATAGCCTCAGCTTCTCTGCACGTCAGTGACGGCATCGAGATGCAACCCGAGCAACCCGCCTGATGCGTTCTGTCAAGAAGCAAAAGGTGAAGAAGCGAAAGTCTGTGGCCTGGTCTTTACGCTGCTTTGATCTTTCAAGTCGCCATGTAGATGGCGCACCGGCGCACCAGAAACACGCGGACTGCCAACAAGCGGACCAGCAATGAGCGGGCCAGCAACAAGCGTGCCAGCAACGGGGAGACCAGCAACGGGCGGGCCACCTACAAGCGGAACCCAACAAGAGCTTCATTTACATCCTATGTCGCCGAAGGTTATAGAATGTCCAATGTATGAAATGGCTTGCAAAGGCGAGGTTGGCCTCGGGTAAATATAGAAAGGCTTACAAAGGCGAGGATCGCCTCGCGTATATATGGAAAGGCTTACAAAGGCGAGGATCGCCTCGCGTATATATAGAAAGGCTTACAAAGGCGAGGATCGTCTCGCGTATATAAGAAGGGCCGACAGATTTGCG